AAACCCAACCCGAACCCGGTGATGGGTAACCGGGTAACGGGTCGGGTACGGGTACAGATTTTTCTTGGCGGGTCGAGTACGGGTATGTCAAAACCCGTACCCGACCCGACCCATTTACATCCCTATTCCACTTACATATAAGTTTGAATACATCTCCAATTGCAATTACCCATAAATTATTATTAATACATATACATATTTATAACTAGCCATTATGATTTTAGTATCTTTCCTCACATAAAAATTAATTATTACATTACATATTACATATAATTACCAGATGATGCATTTAATAAAACATTTAATAAAACCTATTTTCATTTCCCTCCAAAAGGAGTTACATTTTTTAATTAATTACTCACTAATCTGCTAATTTACACTTTAATATATATATTTTTATTATTTATTTTTTGGATCAGTTACTAAATTAATTCTAAATTTGGTAGCAAAATATTCAAATGTGTAACGGCCAATGTTGGAACTTAAAGTTGAATGACACATTCAGAGTTGTAACCGCTATATTTGGTTGCATTGTTGGAAGAAAAATATGATTGACACATATTTTTTTTTTTCTAAAAATCCAAAACACCAATAATTTTTTTATTTATGTTAATTTCTTAATATATACCACAAATATATAAATTATTTTATTCGTGTTACTAATGTAAACGTTGCATGGTTAAAATAAAATTTAAATCTCAATTAATTTTGAATGATAAAAATAACTTAAGAAAAAGTAATAATTTTTATATGATAGAAGTACATGTCTAATTAATAAATACAAACAAAAACATGTTTTATATCTGTGCAAATGCACATGATCAAATACTAGTATTATTTTAAAAAAACCATTGATTATTTAATGCACAATTCTTTATCCAACATTTTCTAATTCCACTTACATATAAGTTTGATTGATTAAATGTCCAATTGCAATTGAATACTTGTATTTTTGCTTTGTTTTTTAATTGGAAAGTATTCATATTTATATAAAAAAAAGAAGAATTATACTAAATATTAAAGGCTTATTAATTTTTTTTTTTTTGGTACAGGGACCTTCCGGTTTCTGGATCCACAGGGGTGCGACTAATCCGGAATCGAATCGGGTAGGACCACAAGGGCGGCAAAGCTCTCCCTCAAGAGTTTTAATACTGCTGCATTCTCAGGGCTCGAACTCGAGACCACTAGTTAAGCTGGAAGATTTTGGTCCATCATCAGCCAACTCACAGCCAGAGTGGGACCCACTTTGGATCTCTCCTAGTGGAAATATAGCTATATAAAATGAACCTCCAATTTCCACAGCAATGAATATGAATCACTCATTGTCTAATCCTTCTAAACAAAATTAGTTTTTGGTGAAAATTTAAACAGCAAAAAAGGAAAAAAGTACAGAAAAAAAAAGGCACAATATTTCAACTCAGCAGAGAAAGAAGACAAAGGGCACTGTTTGAATCTCTGGAAGCTTATAGAGCTGTGCTCATATTTGTGTGATTTTGATCGATACCTTAACAAAGGTATATCCTTTTTCTCTCTTTTTTTTTTTTATTTTCATAGTTATTTTTCTTTCTTTTTTAATTAATTTTCTGCTCTTTCTTTGTTCATTTTAAGCTGTTGCCTGGCACATTCCTCCTGTTTGTTCGATTAACGTTATAAAAATCGAATCTTTCGTGTAAGAAGAGATGGGTTCATAGTCTAGTTGACTCTTTTCATAGCAAGCCTTATGCGGATTATGCGGATTTGTGTGTGTGTGTGTGTGTGT